ATCTAATGAATCTCAGAAAAATGAATAAACACGCCAAAACACTCCCGCACCCAAATCCACCTACCTAGGTCTCCATGAGGCCAAAAAGATGGCCACGACGCGGGAGCCATGCAGAAATGTAGTGTGTGCTGTCCAGGGCCCCACAGTGGTCCGATGTCAGTCATAGCAGGCCCATGTAGGATCCGTGCACGACACAACCCCGCCTCCTTGAAGATCTGAGTCTGCCTGCGAGCGCGAAGCTGGCCATCTGAAAGGGAACCGAAGTCCATGCAGGATGGGTGGGCGGTCGCTGCGAAGTCTCCTTGGCAAGTCATTGCTGCTCATAGTATGCTATGATGTCCGCTGCGGTAACTTGCAGGTCCCCGGGAGAAAGCCAACAGTTGTCCTTAGGATTGCATTGCCTGAAGCATACCTTGTACTGCATTGGCTTGCTGCCGTGGTGCCGATGAGTGGTGATGAGGTCAACCTCTTTGAAATCCATCCATGGACGAAGGTCCAGCGAACGTCTGTCCAGGAAGTAGTCGCTCTCTGTCAAAATATAGGTTGCGAGCTTGGAGGTGTGAAATACTGGATGCATCCTTAGGTGAGGCGGCACATCAGTGATGAATGACGGTCCATCGAGCTGATCGCCAGCTGAAGAGATAACAAGCCAAGGGCTGAAACATTTGGGGAGAGGTTTCCAGGAGATGCCTTGCTTGAGGCTGAACTCCTCGGGGGAAACCACCCATAGTAAAATTTAATCGCCTTCGCAGAATGGGCAAGTCGCAGATTGGCTTACTGCTGCAGACACAGTTGTGCCTTCTGCAAGGCTGTGAGGGCTTTAGCCAGTAACTCCCGCGTCTTCCGAATGGAAGAGGGTGTGCAAAGGGGGTCGATGTTGGCTGCCCGCGGTAGAAGTGCATCTGTGAAGAGTCGTCCTTTCCATCTGCAGTGATGAAGCTCAAGAGTAGTGATACTTGATGTTTGGAAGGTGCTCAACTTAGTCATTCTGATCAGGACTGATAAGCATGCTTCAGCGCTTCGAGTCCGCTACGTCATGCAAAGCATCATTTGTGCCATCTGATGCGCCAGTTCCATCTGCCCATCCATATGTGGGTGCTGAGAAGAACTTGGTTTCATTTGGGATATGGATTGCTTCATGAGAGTGATCCAAAAGTCTGACATGAACCAAAACACAGCATCAACATGTTCCCATACACATGCGAGATGACAAAGCAGACTTGGAGAGGACTTCACAACCAAAGCAAACTGAGGTATGCACAGCGGAAGCTCGAAATTCAATTAGAATTTGAAGAAGATATCAAACCATCGTTCCCCGTCCCTCTCCTGTTCAACCAGCTCCACAAAGAACTCGAGAATCCCAACCGAGAATACCCAACCTTGAACAAACTTAAAGCACAACCTCAGCAAACGTCATGATTCTCCCTCCTCCCTCTAACTTCAACCTTCACCTTCCCTAGCTATGCCGCCTAACATAAAGATACAACGCCTTACCTGGAGACCACCAGCGCCTCCCTGCAGGCAACCATAACCCCAACGCGCCTCAGAATAACTGAGTGGCACAGTGCTGAGTCAGAGACCCTCCAGGATGAACTGCGCCAGCTCCAGGATGAAGACGGAAGCTCCAACTTGAAGAAGATGAAGAAGAGCTGCCACATAGAAGAAGATATGGCAGCGCCTAATCCCAATAACACAGATATGGTGGTGCCAGGCTCAGTGCCTGAAGCGCATGCTTCGACGTTTGCACCATGACCCTAGCGGCAACCTGCCAGCTATGGCGCTACTCTACCAGCCTGGATGCGTCCACAGTCCCCAACAGCAAGTCGCCCAACAGGTCCATTGACCAAAGATCAGAGACCTCCAGACCCCTAGCACTACGGACTGACTCTATTTGTAGTTCTACACTAACCTACGGGAACGGACTCCTAGGACCTAGGAAACAACTAACAGTTCTGGGTCTGTGTTTTTCCAGTGACAGCAGTATCGGTCTGAGGCATTTAACAAAGCAGTATTCCGTTTAGGCCTGAAACGAAGTTCAGGGTCAGTAGAACTGTAGAACTGTAGAACTGTCTTATCACTGTTAGCAGTAGTTTTGGGAATTTACAGGAATGTCCCCGTCGGTTTAGGCTTGTTTTCAGTTACCAGTTTAGGACCCAGAACTCAGAAAATGACAAAAATGCCCTGGTTAGTGTTACAGCCCGCTGAGAAACTGCAAGAACATTGCAATACTCTGTGGCTGCAAATCCAGCCGGTAAGTAAGATGCGTGCGAGCTCGGGAGTGGTAGCATGGTACTTGCATGGGAGGAAGTAAGCATACTTGCTCAATCGGTCAAGCGCTATCAAGATATGGTCATGGTGAAATGGGCTGGTGACACCCATGGCAATAGATAGGTCGGGCTCTCACGGGATGGGTAACGATTGCAACTCATTGTGAGGATTGTGATTGCGAGGTTTGCCTCTCCACAAAATTTTGCATGATTCGCAATACCTGGTAACGTCACCAAGCAATGGAATCACTTGCGAAGTCAACCAACCGTGGGTTGACTCCTAGTTGGCCAGCAAAGCGCAAATCATGGTACTCACCAAGTAAATGGGTCTGAAGATGGCGATCATGACAGGCACAAAGTAAGTCCTTACCGTGTGTGAGGAGAAGCAAGAAAGCCATCAGCCACCAAATAGTTGTGTGTCGATGGTGTCACTTATGAAAGTGCCTCGTAAAGTGATATTAAATCAGGGTTGGACTTACCCTCGCACGAAGTGCTGCTGCAGGCTCTCATCCAATGTGAATGTGCGAGGCGTCACTGCACAAAGGTGGGGTCATCAGGAAAGAGCATCCATGAACCAACTGGAAGCACCCAGAATATGCTTCGCGCTGAAGTCAAACTGATCAATGAAAGACATTCATTGGACAATAGTGATATTGACGGTATCTTGTGTCTCATAGAAGAGAAGTGGGTTTTGCAAGTGACCCATCTAAGCTTTCGGCGCCCGAGGAGGAAGTGTCGTGATCTTCGCATAGTCATCAATAAAACGTTGATAATAGTTGGTGAGTCCCAGGAACTAATGAACGTCCATAGTGATGGTTGGCTCGGGTCAAATCCTGATGACCTGAATCTTGTCCGCCAATGGACGGATGTGACGCCCAACCTCACGCCCGGCGCGACTTCCTGATCGGAGTGGGATGTGGGCCTGGAAGTGCGAAAAGGGGTGTGCCAAGGATTTTTGGGAAAGTGGGGGTGGAGTCCCAGGTCGGA